CAGAACCAGCGCCAGCGCCAGTGTCAGTGTCAGTGGAGGGCTGACGGAAAGTGTGGAGAGGGGATCACGATGGATGGAGTTGGATCAGCGCTAATAGCGAGCCCGAATACAACATCAACGTCTGCCCACCGCGGGCGGCGTGCGTCTGTGTGCTCTGCTGCTCGTCCACAGACGCAGGCAGGCTGGGGCTATCGGGCTAAGTGAGTGCTAGGTTGTCGCTACTGCGCCTGTCGAGAGTGACGACTGCTGCTGGGCGCCATCGCGTCTTACCTTAGCTAAGGTACGAATACTGGCTGCATAGTACCGTAAGGCAAGGTATGGTATGTATGCGAGCTCCGTAAGGTGTGATGGACCATACAGAGGACAGTCACCCGCTCCTCGAGGGTGCCACGGGTCTTGCAGCGGCCCTCGACTGCCCTGGCCCGACTAGTACTGGGTGCCCTGCCCTGGATGCGATGCTCGTGCCAACCCTGCCCGATTTCGAAAGACAACTCGCGATGTCATGGGCTCACAGAGAAAGCGAGCACCCCTGCTAGCGTGAACGGTGAAGGCCAGGGCGTCCCCCCGGCTCGATTCGACCCTGGAATGCCACCCTTGCGAATTTGAAGTCGAGCTCTGCTCTGCTCTGGTTGCAGCGGGCGTACAATGAATGCGTGGTAGTGAGTGCCCGTGGCCGTCGGCAGTTTGTTGTTGATTTCTTAGACCCGACGCTGATCAAAGGAGAAAGTCCTGCCGTCCGTCGTGGTCGAGGCGTGGATGCGCAGAATGTCCTGTCCGTCGTTGGACCATGGTTTGTTGGATGTTGAAGGCTCGGGGCTCCCTGCATGTTACACATGGCATGGGATGTTGTTCGACGATCCTCGCGGACAGGGGTTAGAGAGTCACACTGAGTGCGGGAAGAGGTGGAGGGAGGGAGGATAGGATGAGATGAGGAGAGACGGACGGGATCATGGATGGGATGGGATGGGACGAGACGGTTGAAACGGAGGATGCTGGAGAAGCTAAAGAGCGTGGGAGCGAAGATGGAGACGACAGATGCTGACCGAGGAAGCACTGACAGAGAGAGTTCTACTCCGTCGAGGACAGAGGTCGGATGCTGCCCCTTGACCTTGACCGTGGCTTGAGGCTTGAGACGAAGACCATTTCTTATTCCTGCTTTCCTCGACACAAGCGGGCAGGATTTGCGGGAAAGATCTAAGGTTAACGCCTCCACGAAACAAGCCAGCAGCGTTGGACATTCACATCCTACCAGCCCGCCACGCCTACTCTGTACCTACCTACCCTACCTTAAGGCAGGTATCCAAGTATGTACCTGTGAAGGTGCAAACGCAGGGGACACGCATTGCCGTTTCTGTGAAGAAATAGCAAGTCGATGAGGAAATAGCAAGACTTCACTTGGCCAGGTGCCCGGGCCAGACCAGACGCAGCCCTGGATCGATCCAACAAAAGTTCCCCTCTTCCCATGAATCCCTCGTGGGCACAGGCGGAGTACTACACAGAGGTAAGGTATGAGTGAGAGGCATATGAAAGAGGAGCTATAGAAGTAATGTCACGATATCACCGTGCTACGCCGCTCTCTTTCGATCAACCTCGCCAGCGCCGACCCCGTCAACCCCGTCCTCTGGTTTCCCTGCTTGCGACGCAGCCAATCCGTACCTTGTCTGCCTGAGAAGACGCAGTGCACGAGATGCAGCAAGACCTGGTGCGGACCAGCCCAGACCTCGCCAGGCGAGAAGGCCAGACCCGACACGGGACCGGGGTCTCCCTCTGCCTCCCTCTCTTCCTCTCGATAGAGTGAGTCCACGGCTGTTTCTCTTTGTCTCTCGACGGGGGGGAAGACGGTATGTATCGGGGGTGGTGGATGAGGACGGGGATGGGGGCACAGGACGACGGAGACAGAACGGGCATCGGTCGTCTTGATGATTATCTCGTTGCTCATTTGCTCACAACTCACCCTCCACAGAGACTGGATCCATCACTCTCATCATCATCACCATCCACCCGTTCTGCATTCTCCTCACATTCACACTCAAACCGTCCCCATCCGTCTCCGTCGCAGGCCCCGATTCCATCCTCCCACCCGCCGTCGATGCTGCACTGGACTCGCCTCAGAAACCCGGCCGACGGGCGCTGGCTGCTGGTGGGCGCCCCTATTGCCGTCGGTCTCTCGATAGGTAAGTCTCCCGCCATCGGCACCCACCTCATCATAATCATAACCATCGACGCTATCATGCCATGCCATGCGGACGATGCGATGCAGCCCGTGAGTCTGTACCAGCAGCGCCAGCCAACCATCTGGCGGCATGCCACCCCCGTCCAGCCTGGTGGCACTCACACAATGGAATGTAAACGGCCGCTGCCCGTTTATTTCCTTCTTTCTCTCCGCCCATGCCCTGCTTCACCATGCCTTGTCTTACATGACCTGTACGTACCTTGCCGTCCGCACATCACCCACCCTCTCTCAATACGTAAATGCGTACGAGTAGCTACGATAGGACACGCCGCGGACACTGCGGACACTGCGGACACGGCTGGCATGTGTGGTGATTGTCTGCACCTACATACTAGCAGGCATGCTGGGTAGGTAAGGTATCTGATGGGTGTAAGGTATCCAGAGGGCGGGTTCGTGAGGTACGGATACCCATACTTTGCGCATGCCTACCACCCTGGTTGCCGGCATCGCTCTCCGTCATCATCATCCTCACGGCGTTGTGATATTGCTTCATGTCCATATCCTCCTACTCCTCCTCCTCCTCCTCCTCCGCCTCTGTCCACATCACATCCCCGAACCCGAGGCTCCCTGCTGGAGATCCTTGATGTGGTGCTGGTGATGCCGCTCCGGGGTCGTGTCATGCTAGCCAGGTAGCCTCCAGTGTCCAGTGCCCGTGCCGGTGCAACCATCGTAACCCTAGAACAACATGCGCGTCGTCCTCGCTCGCTCTCGTGCGCCTTGCCTGTGTCGTCTCCCGTATCGCGTCTCCCGTCTCCTGGCCTATGTGCATCGACGGGACTTGACTGGCCCTCAAATGCCCTTGTGTTTCCTGGACTAGTTTGCTTCCTGTCCTTTCTTTCCCTCCCTCTTCTTCTTCTCTTCCTCTCCTCATCTTCAAACTCATCCATCCTCACACCTTTTTCAGTTGTGAGAAGGCTGAACCTGGGTAATAATCCATCTAGCCTTCTTTGGTGGATTGAGGGTGGTCTGTCTTATTGATTATCTATCCAGCCAGCCAGCCTCTCCCAAGCTCGAACCGTGATACCGGGCCTCTTCTGCCCTACCTCCGTTGCTGTACCTTACCCTCCGATCCCTAGCTGCGGCACGGTACTGCACACTCGCATCACATCACATCGACCTTTCCTGTCCACACTGGCCGCCATTCGTCAACCACCCACCGCTCAGCTCGGCTCGTCTGGCACCAAGCATCAGCGCCATTCCCGGGTCCAGCTGCGGTGCACACCCTCCTCACGTCTTGATCTGTGTGTCCAAGGCACCAGACGGGCGGACAGACGGCGAAGGAGCTACCGGAAAGGGCGAATCAATAATCTCACTCGGGCGACGAGACCATATCAGGAGGAGACTATCTTAGTCTTGTAGGTCAGAAGCGAAAAGAGAGACGCAGACAGACAGACGAAGCGTCACCAACAGCACCAACACCAACAACAGCATCATCCAACTGCAGCAGTAGCACCACCATCATCATCCAACACAAACTCCAACTATTTGCAAGGTATTATTACAGCCCAGCCTGGCCCCCGAGGCGAGGCCACCACCATCAACCACTACCCTTCTTCGCAGACTCGGTCGCAAAACCCCGGAGTCGATCGAACAAATCGCCGGGCTCGAGGTCGACGCAGAGACGCAGGAGGAAGGGACGGGCAGACGCACCCCGGAAAACCACTCGTCACATTTATTGTTCCTTTTTTTTGGGGGGCGGACCATCGAATTCTGCAATATTCCTCCTCTCTCCCCCCTCCAACCCTCAACCCCCTGTGTGCTCGCTCCTGTTTCATTCGTTGCGTCGCACGTTAGCTGAGGTACGGGCGAGTTACTTGCTCGACGGCGCGATACTTGTTCCTGTGGGCGTTGGCTCCTGTACCGTACTTTGGGCTGGGTTATTGATACCAGCGCAGCCCTCTTTTCTTTTGGCTCAGTTGGCGAAGACGGGCGTTCACTTGTTGTCTCTTGGTGCAGTATTATTGCCGGCAACTATCCTGTTATTGCATTGGATTGAATCGCACCTCACCTTACCTCACCTCACGCATCGCATCGCATCGCATCGTCCGACTCCCTGACTGTTCCAGTCCGTTTCCCCCCTCCTTCACCCGCACTCTCATCGACCCATTCATCATCCCTTCTTTTCTTTTCCTTTCCCACTGCCTCTTGTTTTTTCCCCCCACGGGCTGCTTACTCTTTTCTGTGTATTCTCTCTCTCGCCCATCATCCTCCCCTTTTCCTCCAATCGAGGATCGGAGACTGCACATCAAGCGTGTTGTCAGCCAGCAGCAGAAACAAGCGGACGTGGTAGGGCGCAGGATTCCCCCGACTCAGACTACCTACGAGGCACAACAAGCACTGGCAGGACGGGAGACAGGAGGCTAGTGTCAGAAGACAAGACAAGAAGAAAAGAGAGCAAAGCAGGGCCAAAGGCGGCAGCAGGGCGACAGCATCAGAGAGGCCATGTTCCAGCCTCAACCCACGCCTTTTGCGTCGGGATTTCACGCACAACCGGCGCAGTTTCACAGCATCCACTCGGCACATGCACCACGAGGGCAGCAGCAGCAGCTTCACGGAGGAGGAGGAGGAGACGGGATGGGAGGAGACATGTCAGTGTACAGCTTCCACTTACCGACCCCGCTGGGAGTGGGCTCACCGTCGGGTGCGAACTGCATTGGGATGGGCCTGGCGTCCGCTGGTCCCGAAGGCCACAGCATGGGCAACCCCCTGGCCCACAGCGGGCACGCACTGAACCACGGCAGCCCGGGGCCAGTACCGGATCAGGGACATGGACATCATTATCGCCATCACCAGCAGCGGCGGCATCACCAGCAGCAGCAGACGATGGGTGGTGGAATGGATCAGCGGTCGAATTCGCTATCTCTGGTGGGCGTGGGCGGGGCGGAACACCAGATGGAACAGGAACAGCAGGGACGGCACCAAATGGAACCTGCAGCTGCAGCAGCTGCAACTGCAACTGCAACTGCAGCGGGCGTGGGCGCGGGTGCTGGTGCGGGTGCGGGTGCGGGTGCTGGCGTCGTCGTTGGTGCAGCTGTCGCCGCGGTTAGTGCAGCCGCGCCGCCCACTGTCACTGGACTCCAGCAGGTCCAGTCTGTGCCGCAACGGGGGCCCGGGCAGCAACATCAGCAGCAACTACAGCAACAACCCGGACCTGGACCTGGACCAGCTGGAGCCATGGCGGTAACAGCAGCTTCCCCCTCTGGAGGCAGCTTGTACTGCTCATCCCCCGCCAGCTACGGCGGCGGCCACAATCATCACCATCCTCACCACCCTGCCGCTGCTGCTGCTGCTTTCCACCACGGCCCTGGCGCGTCTTCTGGCTCTGCCTCTGCCTCCACCACGCCGTCCTCCCGCTCCCACTCCCTATCACACGCCCATTCCCACTCTCACTCCCACTCCCACTCCTCCTACAGCCACTCCAACCCCAATTCCCATTCCCACCTCCAGCACCACCACCACCACCACCAACAGCAGCTCCAGCACCACCTCCCTGGAGCTCCCTCGTCCAGCTGCGACCCGGCCTCTTCCTTTTACAACTCCAACATCTCTTCTTCCTCAAACACAAACACCACCGCTTCCGCGAGCACCGCAAACTCCACGACCACTCGTCCGTCCACCATGGAGCCCGGCGACCCTTCCGACCTCGCCGCCCAGGAAGCCGCCGCCCGGGATTACCAGCCACAGCTCCAGGTAAGCTCTAAGCTCCCAGCTCCCATCCATCTCGTCTGCTGTTCATTGTCTGTCGCAAACGAGCTCGACCTTGGAACCGAACCTCACCTCACCTCACCTCTGCATCTGCGCTAACCACTCCCCCTCCCCGCCGATAGGGCCCATTAGTCGGCGACAAGATCACCAGCGACGCCATCACCGACGAGTACGCAAAGGCCGACGATGTCTACGTCGCAAAGACCATCGTGAGTCTCAATCCCACCCTTCCAGCTCCCCTTCCGAGACCCAAACACCCTGGACATTGTCTAACCTCGGCCCTCGTTGCCGCCGACTCTAGGCTCTTCCTCAGACGTATTCTCACTACCGACCCATCCAAGGCGACGGAAACTGCGGCTGGCGAGGTAAGTCACCCTTCGCCCTCGAACCATTCCGTGCACCATCAACCTACCCCGCATTCCCACCTCGAGTCCTCGCACCAGCTTTCACGATCCGACCCCGACGAAGCACACCACCATAGCTGACTGACTGCTTCTGCCACAGCCGTTGGATTCTCCTACTTTGAGCATCTCGCCAACAATGGCGACCAGGATCAGATCCTCGGCGAAATCGCCCGCATCACGAGCTTGAACCAGTACCTTCTCAACATCGGCGGCTACGATCGGATGCTCTTCGAGGACATGGTGGACGAGACCATTGCTCTGCTGAGGGACCTGGCAAACAGCATTACGAACCCGCAATTGGCACAGCAGATCGTCCTCCAGCGCTTCAATGACCAGGACGCCTCCAATGCCATCATCTATCACCTGCGACTCCTGGCCAGCTCCTGGCTGAAGGGTAACCCCGACGATTACGCCCCCTTCATTCCTGGCGAGACGGGTATCGCCGGCTACTGTGCCGAACTCGAGCGTCCCAACAGAGAGATTGAGCATCTCGGCCTGCAACTGCTCGTCCAGGTCCTTCTCAAGCCTGTCAACATGGTCCTCGAGATTGCTTACCTCGATCGGAGTGCCGGAAGTCAGGTCAACAGCTACCGCATGCCCAGTGAGACCATGGGCCAGGATCCCGCCAACCTGGGCCCAATCATCTACCTCCTATACCGACCCGACCACTACGACATTCTGTACAAGTCTCCCCCGAACCCTGCACCCTTGAACTTGCAGGTCCACCGCGCGACCTCCTTTTCTCACCGACAAGAAATCATGCCCGTCGCGCCCTCTCTGCACACCTTTGCCAACATGGACTATAGCCCCTTGGCAATGTTGCCCGGCTTCGGCGGCCCGTCATCCGGCCTGTCCTCGGGCCTGTCATCGCTGGGCTCGCCAACGTCTACCTCACCAATGCCGGATGCTTATGATGCTACGCCGCAGTCCCCATGGATGACCACGCCCTACTCCGATCACATTCCGCAACAGCAGCCGCCCGTGCCCACCCCTCGCCCTCAGCCTCAATCCACGCCGCAGCCTCAACAGTCAACCTCCACACCCGGGAAGTCATCACAGCCCGTGGATTATCAGCTGAGGTTTAGCCACCAGTGCTGGCATCTGAGCGGTTCTAGCTCCGCTCAGCCGTCCATGTTGTCTTCTCAGCCCAGTTTCCCAGAACCCAGCTTCACCACGGCCATGTTCAAGAATAGCCATTTCAACAAGGCCCACTATCAAAATCCCCATTTCCATCCAGAGGAGTGGACGCCCGATGATGAGGCGCACGAGAGACTGCCTCCTGCCAAGAAGAAGGGACGGATCAAGTCGGAGCACTGAACTGTCACGATGGGATAACGGCACCATCATATCGTGACACATGAGGCTGGGTCTTGGGTAAGCCTCCTGTTCTGGGACGCGGAGGTGGAGACGAGCCTCTGTCGCAACACCCGGCGTTCTCAAATGCGAACGCGAGGCTTGACGATTGAACTGTGTGATGAGGCAGGCCGTTTTCGAAGACGAAAGCAAGAGATTTGAGACCAGGCTTTTGGTGGTCTGGCGGTCGGCCAGGCATTTCTGCATTGGAGGAGGCTTAAAACTCGGTTCACTGGTTTACTGTGGCTTTAATCATTTTATTTTCTCTACGGGGAATGGAATCATGACTTATGAAGAGGGGGTTTATCTTCACGGCTTTGGCGGGACGGTTCAATCTTCAGGTTGATACTCATCATAGCATCGGCGTTGTTTCTAATTGGACTGTTTGTGGTTGCATTTCTGTTCCAACGATGGGCACACTGGAGGGCTCTTTCTCTCGAAGGTCTTGCTTTCTTGATCTAGCCACAATTTTATGTGAACGCTGGTGAAGCACTGTCCTAGTGTTCCACGACCAAGTTTGATGAAACAAACCCCAACGAGTGGCGGATGCGTTGGATTTGGTTCCCAGTCAAAAGTTTCTGCATCCTGACAACTGTACACCATGGTGACCTACACTCCTTCTGCCTTCAAGTCGCATCAAGTCCAAGAACCAACACCAAGAACCGACAGCCACCACTGCGGCAACCCAGTGTTGATACCGTCTGCGTTGCCTGCCGGCGGCGAATGCGCGCATCTCGGGGTCTTGGCGCGAATGCCCATCTCCTCGGGAAGAGAAGACTAAACCAATCACCGCCTAAAGGGACTTTGCTCCGAGCCTATGAGAACAAGCCTTCGGGGCCACCCCATGAACCGGTGTGCCTCTGCACGCCCGCCGATCTCATGCAAGCATGCTTGAGCATTAACCGCAGCCTAATAGCACGGCTTATCTCCAACGTAGCTTGATTCGAGAGATTGATATATGCGGAGGCGGATGTTATATATATCTTATATCATGACATGCCACTCTGCGTGTTGTAACGGCAGCCAAGGATCTCGGTTCCGCCTATGATCGTCGGGAGCAGCCAAGGTTGCATTTGTGTCGTTGTCATCCAGGGCCAGCAGAGCCGGAAGAAATTCCGACGTTCTGCTCGGCAAAATTTCCAGTCTCTCTCTCTCTCTCTGTGGGCGGTGGCCAAAAACCTGAGAACAAGGAATGGGTATCATTGAAACGGGAACATTCTATACACGGCTCCTCCCCCAATCCTTTTCCCGCCGGAAGTTCCATTTGAACCACGCGGAAAAGCCGACCCTGAAGTCCCTTCCTTCGCTCTCGGATCCGGAAACAAGCCTCCAAAGAGAAGAACAACACGCAAAAGTCCCGGTCCGAACCGAGAGCCGCGGTGGATCACTGATAAGAGACGTGAAGGGGGCAGGCACACGACACGGCAGAGAGGTGTGACGTGCCAGACGTGGGCAGCTCCGCTGCGGTGCCTCCAACGGAGCGGTCCAGACCGTCTTTCGCACCCCCGCTCCCCCCTTCACCTCGACTGCCGTGATGAGCACCGCATATTCCACAACAGCAACGCAATTGCCAGGGCCAATGCCGTCTGCGAACCTGCCAACGTGGGCTTGCCTGTTCGCAGGGGTTGGGAGGGTAAGAACCGATGAGGGAAAAAAAACTGGTTAGGGGTGGTGGATCAGCCAAGTCGTTGATACACCGTGCCGTCGACGGCCCCGGCCCCCAACCGCCTCGCAAACTCCTCCACCCACCGCCTCGCATACCACTCCCTGCGCGCCCTCGCGTCGCCAGCAGCCGCCCACGCGTCCCATCTCGGCCCGACCTCGGCCTGCACGCTCGTGGCCGTCTTGCCCTCCAGCCCGCACGGCACGAACCTCGCCCAGGGGTTGGCGCGCTCGTCGCCGTCCACGACGACGTCGACGTTGAGCGCCGTGCCAAGGCCGGTGATGTGCCGGCGCAGGTGGACGCCCATGGCCGCGATCTTGCGCTCCTGGCCGTGCGCCCTGGCGCCTTCGGTCCAGACGCCCGGGTCTTCTTCGGAGAGGTATGTGGGGATGCCGGGCCCTGATGGAGCGGAGGAGGCGAGGATTGCTTGCGTCGTTTCTTCGAGCAGGCGCGCGTAGGAGCGGACCGTCTGGTGGGGGTAGTACGGGCTCCGCAGGTCGAGGATGGGCCAGAGGACGACTTGGCCGGGGCCGTGGTAGGTCGTCAGGCCGCCGCGGTCCGTTTCGATGACCGCGGGGGCGAAGTCTCGTATCGTGCCGTCGTCGAGGGTCACGGAGAGCGGCCGGGTGAGGCGGGACAGCTGGTCTTCGCGCAGCGACTTTTGCCGTTTGCCGAGCGTGTAGGTTGGTGTCGGGGTGAAGGATACGACGAGCGGCGACGGGGCGCGGGGCGTCGGGGCGGATTTCCAGTCGAGGAAGGCCTGGCGCAGGGAGGCTTGGAAATCTGAAGCGGCTGTGTACGATGGGAATCCGGCGGCGTCGCGGGGGTCGGAGGAGGTCAGGTGGATGTGGCGCACGGCGCTCGGCTCCGCGCCGTCGTCATCTGGGAAGACGAGCTTCGAGATGGGCAGCGAGGAGCTCCATCGTGTCTGCGTCTGTGTCTGCGTCTGCGTACGGCTTCGTGCTCGGTGGGAGAGGGTTCGGATCGTGGAAGCGTAGACACGGCCAAGGGCGGTTCGCGGGGGTCCCATTGGTTTGCTGCACGTGCTGGTGTTGATTGGGCGGACGTTGGTATAGGAGGACGTAAGGCTGAGCAGGTGAGGTTTGGAATTCTCGTCCGAAAGCTTGAACAGAGTTTCGCGGAACGAGCCGGGGGTTGAGGCGGCGAGCACTGTGGGCACTGACGGCGGCATCTTATCGATAGGCGGCGCAAACGGGATGCACGGGCCAAGAGAGCCGCAGGGATTCGGATCCTTCGGGCTTAAGTGACATTCCTCCAGGCCTTGAGAGGAAGCAGGGCGGAAGTGGGTTGACTTGACGTAGGATTGCTTGAAGCAGACTGTCAGACATGGGTGCGCATCTGTCCAAAGACTCTCAACGTTGATATGGAACTATAGAGAGATGATTTGGACTTAGACTGCAGGAAATATGGAAATCTTCACGTATACTTCGACCGCTGTGAACTTCTGTCTCGGTTCCATTATTCTTAACTTTAGCTTGTATCCGAGGAATACGATGTTTTACGAAATGGGTTTAACAATGGCCAATATCCCACCGGAACACTCCATCGCAACCGGCGATCAGTGATTCTTGCGCAAATTACAGTTAATATAGTCAGAGTCATGCACTCGTCTCGGACAGCCGCACAGCCGGATTTTGTCAATATCTAGATCAAGTGCGCAACAACGTATGATCCCGCTTGTAACTGAAGGAACTCAGATTCATCGTTGAGGTACGATTTCATAGACTGTCCTACTCGAGAATAACATACACCATATCTCCCAACTAGAGGAACATAGTCTTCGAGTCTCAAAATAGAACCACTGTGTCGGTTTCGAGAGGTGCTTGGTCCAGGTAATAAAGTTCGCACTAACATCCATTCAGTTGAGAGTGCAATATCACAACACTTTACTTGTGGGTAGGTCTCAACGGTCTTCTCGACACCCGAAAGGCCTTGACTCGGGGACAATAGGAGTAGTCGCGAGGCCAACGAGGGGTCCATCTGGTTGTCAGTCACAAAATAGGGGAACCACACACAAAGTATAAAAGTAAGTTGGCCTGGCTTTCTTAGGGGAAACTTGTCACTTGAATTATACCTTTTGCTTACCTATCAATCATACGTCAACACGTCGCTGGTACCACCTTGTTTCCAACCATGCAATTCAACGGCTTTTCTTTCCTTCTGGCCACGCTGCCGTTCTTGAGCGGATTAGTTGAGGCAGGATGCAACAATGTTGGCGGAGGCGTTGGGAACAACCCGTTAAAATGCACATCGTACAACGCCCCCAAGAACGTCGGCTCATCCGTCAACGGCCCACTCAACTCTCTTACGATTTCACGAGTTGAGGACGACACAAAATTCCCCGATTGGAGATTCTACACTTTCAAGAACAACATGAACTACGACATCAACTTTGCCGTCCAATTCTGGAATCCCAACACACAGCAGGTTAGTCGTGTGCTTTCCCATTTCCTCTCTGCAGCAATACTGACTCATCTGCTAGAACAACTGGCAAACCTACACACTGTCACCTGACGAGAAGTGTGACGTGCATTTTCTTTCTACGCTTCAAAATTTCAAGCTCACTTGCTGAGATGGCTGGGTTCAGAACACGCAACGAGCGGCATGTTTGCTTTCATCGTCAACTATTTATTTTTAAATTTCTAGAGTCTTCATCTCTTCATTTACAAGACATCGATTCTCACAATATGCCTACATGGTGAGACAGACGTCAGGGGCGGCGTAGTACTCTGCCTGGCCAGTCCAAGATGTTTGCCATAACAGCGAACTGAGGCACGGCAGAGGCCCGATCATATGCATGAGGCTGAGGCTGTACTACACAATCATCGTTTCAATTGGTTTCGCTCGCCTCATGTTGAAATCCCCCCTCATCTGGGCCAAGAATGAGTGATTTTCTGGTTGCCAGTTCAAATTCGCCATTCTGTAGGTGTAAGACACGGCATAGGTCAAGATGGTGTTCTGCGGCAGGCTGCGGCCCACGATCACCTTTACAAGTGGAAAGACCTTCAATAAGAAGAAGATTGTGGCCCCGGATTAAGCAGGATGTAAACAAAGTCATACAAATGTAGCCGTAGTTAATCTGGGGCGTGTCGACGAAGGGGTTCTTTAGCGGGAGGTGTACGGGCCTCGGAAACCACATATAGCCTGTAGTGCAATGTACAGTCTAGAGACCACATTGATGGGCGTCTATGGCTGCTATATCAATATTTAACTGTCATGTACTGAATTCCAAGGTGACTATTCAAACTACGCTTGTTTTTCACTCGGCAACCTTTTCTCAAAGGTGAATGTGACTGGGTTGGAAGCCAAGATTTCCCAAAAGTGTAGAGTGTCTCCAGAATGCTTTGATAGGCGATCCCATCATAATTAGTCGCGCCACCTGCTGGTTGCCTCGCGGCTGCCTCAGAGGCTGCGTGGCGATATGTGGGAAGCCTTATATTTTCTTGTTTCCACACCTATTTGTCATAAATCATAGACATGGGAATTTTGGCCGGCACGCTTAGGTGTGTGGTATAACACACCAGGCTGTGACGCAAGACAGATGGCTGACAGCTGACCAAGTCTCGCCGGTTCGGTAACCCAATGATCTAAGTCTCTCTCCATGCAATCGGCTTCTCTCAAGTGAAATTCTATCTGTACACAGGATCACGGCTGGGAAAGGCGGCTTGATGCTGGAACTCTTACCAGTCTCCGTATCACGTTTCGCATACTGGGCAATGGAAGTCCGAGTCACCCAATTGACGCCAAACTTTAGGAAGAAATCGATTATCTTAGATTATCAGGAAATGAATGCCTTCTACAAGGTGAGTGTGGTGGCTTGATCAGGCAACAGATGCAAGAAACTCAGCCGTCATGCAGGCTACACTTGATCGGAATCGAACAGGTCTTGGACGCTGTCACCAGGTCAGCCATTCTACCCTGACCAATAACATACTCTCAGCTACTCTGGAAGTGGCGGAAAGATTTTTAAGCAAAGCTCAATGATGGCTCACCGATGCATTAGCGTTGATAATCTATACACGCGTAAAAAAGGGAAGCGAACCACTCCAGGCCGATCACTGTTATGCCCGCTCTTTGAATAAGTATTTAAACCAAGGAATTCGAACGTCTGGACAAACTGTTGCCACTGTTGTGTCCATCAATCCCGAATAGCTGCGCTTCCCCCAACATGTCGCCTGCCAAGGGAAGGCCCGAAAACCCGGACTTGATCGTTGGCATTGATTTTGGTCTGACTGGTAAGCTTCCACCCTAAACATTTGTAAGAAGAACACAAGAAAAGATGTTTCTCACGATATGTTTCTCAAAGGTTATGGTTTAATATAGAAGAAAACTGATGAGTTAATTAGGAACTGGGGTTGCCTGGGCACTGCCGTCTGAAGACAAAGTGGAGAGCATAAAAACATGGCCAGGTAAGAAGCTTTCATTCCATTCTGCTTCGCATCTAGCGAAAGTTCAATTGACTCGGCCATATAGGTTTGGAAAATCAAGCTGGAAAAGTGCCCTCCCTTGTTGTGCTTGAAGGCACGGACAGGGAAGCGATTTGGGGCTTCTCAACTCGCAGATATGGCAACTCACCACAACATCTAGTGTACTCACTCTTCAAGAAGCCTATAGGCAGGGGTGATGAATCTGCTGGCGACGATGCGAATGGCGGTAATCGACAAGACGAAGACAATCTGGACAGTCCTGCTGATCCAGACAAGATCGTGGACGAAGAGTTTGAATCCGACGACGACACTATGAGCTTTCATAAAGCCAAAGAGTGTCTCACACAGTATTTGGCGGGTCTTTATGCGTATATCAAGAAGAGGCTGTCGAGCAGACTGCCGGAGGGGACTGAATGGCGGTCGATGAACGCTTGGTTCCTCTTCAGCTATCCAACGACATGGGGCCCCGCCGCGATCGAAAGATTCAGCAATATTGTCAATTCATCGAGCTTCGGTAGTGAGGAGGGCCATTGGGTCAATGCCTCGTACATGAACGAGGCCCAAGCCTCGATGACTTCCTTCGCCACTGAAGGTTCGAGACCAGCTCCAGGGAAGGTTGTTATCATCGCCGACATTGGTGGAGGTACTACTGACGTGAACATATACCATGTTGACGAGGATGACGGGAAGAAGGTGACGCTGAAAGGAGAGATCAAGGCTTCTGGACAAGACTATGGCTCGGTTAATATCGACGCCAGGGTTACGATAAGGCTTCGCGATCAAGTCAAGCACACTTTATTTGAAGGCATCTCTGCCTTCAAAAGCATGACTTTGGCGGAACAAAAACGTGTAGCCCACGAACAGACGTTGACGATCCTCAGACGACACGGTTATGTTGCTACTAAGCATGGTGTCGACAAGGACTCGCCGGCAGATCTGGAGGAACGTTACCCACTCTCCCTCACAAGCTCCGCAGCTCCAATCGTAACTCTGAAGTTTGAGATGTACGGAGCTCTGAGGAGCGAGTTCAGAAAGGAGTGCAAGAGCATCTAGGATCAGATCGAAGCACACTTGAAGAATCATGCTGTAGAAAGCGTGGACCGATTGGTGCTCACAGGGGGCATGACCAATAACGCTTTGGTACAGAACTGGTTCGAAGAGAAAGTCAGCAAGGCCAAGGATATCGGAGAGATCACCTTTTTGCGAGAGCCAGAACTTGCCGTCAGCAAGGGACTAGTTCACGGCGCACTCGAATCGTACAAGAGAGACGATATCTGGGTGTACAAGGCCCTCCATTCTTATGGCGTCGTGGTCTACAAGTCAGGTACGCAAGTGGAAGCGAAGCAGAAACTCTTGGAAAAAGGCAAGATAGTCAGCCTCAAGAAGTTCAAGAAGAAGCAGACAATCAGGTTCAAGTCGGGCAATAAAGCTAGCACAGTTCTGTGGCTGGTTCGATGGGATAACGACGGGGATGCGAACGGCATAACAAAAGTCGGCTGCCTTACTACGGGCTGGTCTACTCCGATTGAGTGGGAGGTATGTATTCCTAAATGTTGATATGTACGTGGGGAGAAGGTCTGACCAGAAAATAGTCATCTAAGAGCTTGGGGTTCGACGCGAAGGCTGAAGTTGAACTCAGTTTTGAACGCCGAACTGCTATCGTCGCTTTCTGGTCTAAGGGAAAGCAGGAACACCGGCGGGTGTTCAATGAAGAATGGCATTCAGGGGCGGATCAAACGCCTCCGAGGAGACTGCCAAGCTTCATGAACCTTACAAAAATCGGATTAGGGATCGCAGGATTGATTACATTTATCATCAATGCTGCGCTTGGGGACGACGTCCTTGATGAGGGTGATGGCGGTACCGATAAGCCGCAAAATGATGGCAAAGGTGGTCCCAAGAAGCATAATGTTGAAGAACAAGGTGATCAAGGTGCTGAAGAGGGTGTCGGACAATTTGATAACTTCGAGGAAGCATAGGATACTGTATTTATCTCTTTCATCTAGTATATCAATCCGTAGCCTTACCGATTGATTTTGATATCATCTTGCACGTTGAATGCCATTACTTCAAAGACTGATGGGGACTTGGAGAAGAGATGAGAAGAGGATCCCGTTCGGCCTGTAAGCCATCAGGTGTCCGAGGACGAACGGGTCTCCCACGCCGGGCGGGGCCAGGATGACCCGGCCGGCGCCCGGCACTCGGCTCCGGCCGTCTGAAGTTCAAAGATGCCAACTCGGAAGCACGCCGTCAAAGAAAGATGTTTCGTGGCTGGTGCCATCGAAGCAGACCCTAGCGCGATTCCAGCAGCGCAGCACTTGACTCAGCCAGTCATCATCACGACACACAAGACTGTCAATGACGCTCGCGAATTCGCTGTCAACACAATGTCTCACAACGGGACAAGAATGCGCCATCGCCAACCCATCCATCATGATGACATGCACAGACTCGAACAGTAGAGAATGTGTCATTACAGACTTCCATAGTGCGCTGAGCCGACGCCGGCACGGCGCTATGTGGGTAGTCCGGTCTTGCCGGTCGATCTGGCGCTCGCCCGGAAGGGCACAAGTCCAGGGGTGATGTGTCTTATTTGTCAATATTCTTTCAAACCTCCAGCTCGAAGCTGCGTCAATGTCTCCTCGAACCACCAATACCCGCGATGCCCGAAACCGAGGTAGCAGCGCATCTATCAGGATGCAAAGTGAAAGTCAGGTTCGTGTCACCCGGCCGGCTGGGACGACGGACGGGGCGACGCGAGTACAGGCAGCTCAGCCTCCATGTGCGAGCTGACAGCGACAGGTGAGAAATTTTGTGCTCTCAGCACACCGCATCTGAGCCACGCTGGTACACCTCAAAGCCGCGCAATAAACAGAGGGGACGGGGCAATCTCGGGAGGCCGTTTTTGGTCAGGAAGCGCAGATTGCGGTAGTTGGCAGCGCGAATACCGCAGATCAGGCTCTAGCGGAAGGGTCCTGGAGAAGATCCCACCAACAAAACGACCAGGGGTGCTGCGGGTGCTGCGGTTGGCCTTGGAAGAGAAGGGCAGAAAGCAAGATGTTCTGTGCCGACGTGCATACTTTTCTGCTGCGAGACCCTGCGTCTGGTGCAGGTGATAAGCCTTCTGGCAGGGAATGTTTGGTCCCAGGGATGGGGTGGTTGATGGGATTATCCGTTCACCGCCAACCGTCCGCTTTGGCAGACGGAAGCTCGAGCACCTGCCTGAGCTGGAGGAAGAAGCAGGATGATGAGGTTGAAAGAGGCGGGAGCTCAGCAGCGGGAACAGACGAGACGTCCATCCGAACGCCAGCAAAACCTAGTCAGTCCCGGCCATCCCAATTGTCATGGACGACGACCTTATTTCGATGACCCGTGGTGCCATGTCCAGAGCGTTGTCGAGAACGACTCGGTTTTAGTTCAAAGGTAGTGCTCACGCCGGAAACATCCAACGTGAACCTAGGGCCAGCTTCAAACGCACTTCTCCGAGGCGCCAGATGTGGTTGGCCCGTTGGAGGGGGGGAAAGAAGGGCAGACGACAAGGACCCAAGCGAGGAGAGGAGAGCAAAAAAACAGTGTTGGTCCGCTTTGATCAGAGGATGACGTCGGGGCAGGGAAGATGGCTGGACCCGCTTGAGGATGAATGGATGTGTGGTCCCTGCGCTGGCAGCAGCCATTGGTGTGGCAGCGATGGTGGTGCTGTCGTTGCCCAGCAGGGACTCCACGCTGGACTCTGTGGTGCGGTGGAGGCTGCACTGTTTGCGCCTGGAAGCCGACTGTGCCATGCCCCGTCCAGCAGGGCATTGCCCACAGTGTGGGCCCGGCAGTGGCTCGGTGGTGTCGTCATGGTCGGGTCCACTATGCGCTGTCCGCCGGTGGGAAACCGCCAGTCTTTAGGTGCATCCCAGCACCGAAGCTGCCCAAGCTGCAAGCTAAGGTAACCTGGAAGGTGCCTACCTCCATCTAGGATACCTACTCTGCACTAGCAGAGACCTAGGCAGTAAGGCTAGACCGAGGTGAAGCAGAGAAACAAAACCAGCAGGGGGTTCCCTTTCTCCCCGCTAGTTTGGCTTCGCATCCCGGCACACGTAACCTGGGCTGGCTTTGCATCATCTGATTGCTCGCCCGTCATCCAATCCTCTTCTTCTCTCTTTTTTCTCTCCCATCCTCCAACATCTCGGTCTGGTCCCATCGCTTCATCCAGCCGAAACACCTAGAAGCAGCAACATCCGGCTCGAATACAATATCACCCGACCATCCCTACCCATTTACACTCTGGAACCAACAGCATCTTCGGCCGAGAACGAGGGTCGCAATCACTTAGAAACACACGCAGCAACAAGAGACACAGAGTTGTCCTAGCTCCCCCCATCCGAACTGAAACATTCTCTGCGAATCCGGTGAGTACCCTCTCCTCCAGGCCAAGGCAAACCCGTGAATTACTCGTGTGTGCCGGCTCCCCTACCCCCTCCCCCGTCCTCCCCAAGATCCACTCCATTGCGCAACATCGCCTAGCTCCCGTCAGGCAAAACATCCGCTGAGTACAAATCCCAGACCACCACCCTCGAAAACAGTCCTCCCCCAGCCATCGCAAAGCATCTACATCCTCAACAGAGACCATACCAAACAGCCGCAACAATGGCAAAACGTGAGTCCTTCCTCCCTTGTCCTCCTCCCCCGCAATACCTCGCAGTCCAACGACTAACACCCATTCCAGAAGCCGGCCTCGGCCTAGCCTCCATCATCTTCCTCTCAGGATCGATTGTTCTTTTGATGTTCGTCGTTCTTTCTGCCGTCAAGGACACCGCACCCTTGAACAAGACCTACTTCCTTCGAGCCGACACGTCAGGCATCCCCGGCGCCCGCGATGGTATGACGAGATGGACCTACTTCTACTACTGCAACGACCAGAACACCGACTGTCGGGGTCCCTGGCCTGCCCCGGCCTTCGGCTGGGCCTGGGGCCAAGCCGCGGATAACGTTCCCTCCGGCCTCGCGGGCGACCACGGCGGCGACACCACATCCACCGAATTTTACTACCTGTGGCGCTTTGGCTGGGTCACCTACCTCATCGCCCTGTTCTTCACCGTCATCGCCTGGTTCGGCAGCTTCCTCGCTTGCTGCGGTAGACTCGGATCTGCCCTGGCATTCATCGTATCAGCCGCCGCCTTGTTCTTCCTCAGCATCGCCGTCTCTCTCATGACGTACCTTTTCCCCCTGCTCGGATCTCGTAGCAAGCATCACGCTAACTTTCTTTCTGCAGTGCCACCTTCGTTAAGGCCCGTAACGCGTTCCGAGCAGCAGACCGCGACGCCGAAATCGGTACCTACGCATTCGGCTTCAGCTGGGGCGCCTGGGCGGCTCTGTTCATTGCGACTCTTCTCTTCTTTATCGGCATCCGCGGCGACAAGGGCCACAAGGGACCCAGCAGATTCAGCCGCAAGCGCAGCGTGCGCAGCCGCAGATCCTTCGACGTCAACTCCGGCCACCGTGTCAAGGAGGACTACAGCTAAATCATTCGCTGCATTGCCGTCTTCCACGGGAAGCAGGACACCACTGACAAGACATTAAAACCTTACACAATATGATACACAAAACCGAAAAACACACGGACGAATCGAGATGGATCATTCCCTTGGCACTGGAGTTTGGTATGACGGATAAGGGAAGTTGGCAGGACTGTTGATATCCAGAGCGCATGATGTACTTACGACTGTTTCTTCTTTTTTGCATTCCCGGCGGCGTTGAAAGTATAACGCATCCACCCACCTACGTATTTTGGCTTGGCGCATAGGCATGCCCTGACTGAGCGAGGCTATCCGCGGATAGTCAATGCCCAGTTTAATACAAATAATTATATCATTAAATGCTGACCTGGCAATGCCACCATCTTGAAGAACTGCAACCATGTCCGGAACTTCGATGAATTATCCTCATCCGTGAACCCATCCGCTTGATGTAGGTGTCGTTACGCAATGATGGTAAGTACTGAATGTGAGTACTAAAAATCGATGAATCCGATACGTTGAAACTGTGAGGCCGGTGGATTCCTCATTCCTGTCTCAAGTCATTATCACCATACTCATGTTACTTGTCCACATGGTACATATGAAAATCCTCATGACTCTGTGTCTTCAGAACCAGCTCGATTGCCATCACACCAACACCAAATTCTTTGCTCACATAATCGTTTTACGCATTCGCCACGGATACATACACACTCCACCAAGTCTCCCATTCACAGCACGCACAAATACACATATCTCATCATTTCAGACGCCGTGATCTTTTTGTCTTTCTCATCTTACTATTCTTGTCGTGTATAAACGTCATGAAACTTCCTCCCATCCCTTTCCAGTGATAACGAGAAGACCACCCCGCCACGTACAGACCCATTCTCCCATCACAAGCGTCAACTTTCGGGGCGGAAAGAGCAAAACTCAAAAGTAAATGCAGACCAAGTCTGGAAGAACGCCGTCCATGTCGTATACTGGGCGACCAGAGTGCTGTAAGTGTTTTGCCGTTCAAAAGAAAAAGGAGGAAACGCGAAGGCAAAGAGATTTCTCGTCAAACAAAGCAGACACTCCTTGCCAACCAGTGATATATGCTGATGATGCAAACGTAGAATACTTGGATTGAGGGTATGAGAACGAGAAAAAAATAAAATGGTCCGTAGGGGGTTGGTGAGTAGGAAGAAAAGAAAAAGGGCCAACGGAGGCCGGCTCGGTCAGCATGGGAATTTTGCGGAAATCATCAGCCTCCCCACCAACCGCTTGGGCTATGTTCTCCTCGGGCTTTTCTTACAACGACATTGTCGTCTATTCCAACCTGTTTTCCGAGCCCACCGCAGGACTCGCGGTCGGGCTGACACTATCCAGCGGGGCGGCGTGAAGGGCGGGGCGTGACGCGGCACTGGGGTCGAGTCCTTTTCTCTTACGATCTAGCACCGACTTCACCCACTCCGCGACCTCTTCATCCTCGG